CTACTCTAAACAACTTTTTTAATTAGTTTTTTGAGAAAATAAATTATACCAAACAGCTATCAGCTAACAGCTAATTTACCAAACATTTTTCTACAATCAGCTAATGTTATCAACTATTTATACCTTCTAATTAACACAATCAGCTAACAGCTAACAGTCATTTTACCAAACAGGGTCAATAACTTCTCCCAAAGGTAATAACTAAGCTACATGCATGTTACATCTTAGAACATCCACACTAGTGAATTTTTGTTGATTTTTTTATAGAACTCATGATAAGGTGGATGTGAGAGAAGGAGAAAAGACAAAATTTAACTCCTACAAGAAATGGTTTTTTTTTGTGGCCCCAAGGAGAGAAGGAGAGGAATAGCTTTACAATTGTTGTTTCCCTTTTTTTTTTTTCATTTTTCTTCCATTTTCTCGTTCTCTTTTTTATTTGGCTTCTAAAAAATTGTGCAAAAAAAAAAAAAAAAAAAAAAAAACAAATTGATGTGGATTCTCTTACACCAACTAGTATGATTAGTAATGTGATGATTTCTCTTTTACCATTCAAATGTATAAAACAAATACTACATCATTCTTTGTGTTAAAAATGATTGATTAAATATAGGCAAGACACTATCATCCCTTGTGCGAACATACATTTTATCATCCATTGAGTTACCTTAATTTACATCATTCCACATGCTCTGTTGGACCGGGATGTATGAACCCGGGATTGGGAATTTAATCTTTTTGGGAGAAAAATCATGAATATATGTTTCAAAAGAAAAAAAAAAACAAAAAGAAAAGAAAAACAAAAAAGAAGCTATATGTTACAATCCTGCCATGACTTTTTCGACTTCCGTTAATATGGTCAACGCACATATTGCAAATTTTACTTTATTGAAGTGTACAAAATAATTCAACTGACACTAAGGAAGTATGGACATTAATTGTGTTAGGTGCTGCATTTACCCTTTACAAATTGCACCTTCATCTACTCCATCCATCCCACCAATAATATGCACAATTTGGTCATTAAATGACTTACCTATCAGCCAGGCAAGCAAACACAACCCTTCATAATTTAGTGATAATTATATTTAAATCATTAAAAGTTGGAAAAAGTTTTAAAATTTTATGCTTTGTAACAACTATACATATATAATTATACACAATTATTGTATTAAAATTTTACAAATTAATATTAACCATTTGTATTTTGTAACAATTATAATTTTCAATGCAAAAAAAAAAAAAAAAAAAAAAAAGTTCTAATCTAGCCAAGATTTCTTAAATTTACACACAAATTATTTAAAAAATTACAACATAATATGGTTTAAGAAAAAAAACAGAATATCTTAAAAATTAAACTCTTCACAAAAGCATTCAAAAAAAAAACTCTTCACAAAAAAAACGTTTTGCATATATAAAAATATGTTCAAATATTATAGCTAGCAACCAATTAAAACTAAAATAAAAATTAAATTATTTTTAGAATTAAATACTATAATTTGGTATAATTTCACAATACACAAATATTTGAGTTTTCAATCACATTTTAAATATTTAAGTGCCACAAGACATAAATGGTTAAATTCTTTTCACCACCAAGTCTTTCCAGTCCATGAAGGCATGCATGTAACAATACTATAATAAATTCAGTTGACCCTTTCAACATCTCATCTCATAATAGATCTGTGGAAGGGAATGTTGGTTTTGTGATCCCGAGTAGTCACTCGATCAGTGGACTAACTCAACCGATCGAATGAAAATAAGATACAAAAAATAAATAAATTAAACAAGACCAACCTAGAAATTGAAAGGTAAAAAATTACGGTCCTCTTTGTATCTTATTTCCATTAACCCCCTCCCCCCCCCCCCCCCCCTTCCCCCCGCCTTCTCACCGGCCTTCTCCGATGAGAAGACAGTCCAGTGGGTCGCCTTCTCCGGTGAGAAGGCGACCCACTGGTCTCACCTTCACACTCGGGGGGGGGAAGGCGAAGGGTTGTTTTTAAAAAAAAAAATGTTTTAATTAATAAAATTTTTAATTAAACATTTATTAAATAGAATCTCGTAAACCGTATTTGACCTGGTGGTGTAAATAGCAATATGAACATCTCTATGACTATATACACCACCTATAAATGGGAAGGAGGGAGAAATTTTATAAAATTACAATTTTGCCCCTAGTTTTGACCGACAACAAATAGACAAATTAACATAGGACGAAATTGAGTAAAAATTACATAGTTGAGAACTTAATTAGGTAAGAAAAATAGTCGAGAATCAAATTGGTAATTATGACATAGTCGAGGGCGACCATTTTGATTATTAACTCTTTAATTTATATCTATTTCTCTTCCTTAATTTTTATTCCATTTTTTTTTTTTTTTTTGGGTGAGGAAAGTAGGGAAGGAGGAGGGGAATACCATTTATGATTACTAAAAGATTTGAATTCAGTAGTGGGATATCGGAAATAGACAATCAAACATACTAATTGGATTTAAATCTAATAGTAGGACACAAAATAATAGTGCTCAAAATTAAAGAGGCCACTTCTTCATTAATATATATTTATTTAAACAATTAAAATTCACAATAATTCACCCGTCATTAACCATTTAAATATTCTATAATCATGTTAGGGTGTGAAGTAAATTACAATGACTCAATAGCCTTTTAGGTGGAAGGACCAGTATTTTGCAAATTATGTTGTGGAAACGTGTTCACTATGCGCATGGTGAACATAGGGGTAGATTTATAATTTCTATACTGTAGAAATTATGAATCTACAATACAATATAGAAATTATAAATCTACAGCTTAAAAATTATGGATCTATCCCGTGTTCACTATGTGCATGGTGAACACGATTTCACAGGATAACTATTGCCAGTATTTGATGTTCACAACCAGCACAGCACAATGGGGGAAACTCCCACATTATACTACCAAGACCCAATCCTAATTAAGTCTTCACCCTAAATCTAGCTATACCATCTAACTATCAAGTGAGTTACCCCTTGAACAACAAGAGTTTGTTGTACAACTAACCCTCTAATTGCACAATATATTCATAATAGAAGCTCACTAACTATAACGTATGATTAAAAGGGAAAATTTGAAACATTTATTAATTAAAACGAATTAGTCACCCAACAATTTGCAACATCATCAAAATTTATACAATAATTATTCTTATCACATAATTACTTTATTGTTGTTTCTTAGTGGGCATTAATTGTAATAGGAATCAAATAATCCTATATATAATAAAGCCATATGGTCTTGTGAAAATTAAATGTTGATAAGCAACATTTAATTTTCATAAGACCATAATAATATTGTTATTATATTATGATTATTGTGAAAATTAAATAGTGATAATCAACATTTAATTTTTACAAGACAATAATAATATTGATTATTATAAAAACAATAACAATAATAATAATAATTGCAATAATAATAATTTTCACCAGTTTCTAATATATATATATATATATATATATATATATATATATATATTTATTTATTTATTTATTTATTTATTTATTTATTATATTTATTTATATTTCAATTTCTACTGGCAAATTATTATGTGAACGATGGTCATGAATATCAAATACATTTTTAATATATTAAAAATACATTATTTTTATATTGAAAGTACCTTACATACATATATAATGTACCCTTAGTATATTTAAAATATACTTTTTATTGCATGTAACCCCAAAGTTCATAAGTTTGAAATTAATATATGGCATAGCTAGGCGGCCTAATATGTAAGATTGTTGATGTGCATATTCAGGACTACGAAGATAAAGATGCGTTATTAATGGATTCATCGGATACTATCCAACAACACTCTCCAACTTAATTGATGTGAAGTAGGCTTAGTAACATTAAGATTATATTCTCGAATTATTAGTTCTCATCTTTTATTGATTACACACTTAATTCGATAGTATTTGGAAGAAAAAATCAATGTTCGAACTAAGATTGTGATTTTGGTCTTTAAATGTCAATTGTATGTTGCTACATCTAGAGTTAGAAATCTCAAAGGTCTAAAAATTTTGATCCGTGGTGACTCTAAAATTGTAATTCAATTACTATTGTAGTTTACTAAGTTCTTAAAAATTTGTAATATTAAATACTATGTACTAAATTTTTAATATAGTTTAAGATTTGTAGTATTCACCCACCTTAAATATTATTATAATTGTAAATATATTTATGTTCATAATTTTATCATAGGAATTCACAAATAATAATTATTAAATAACAAAAATTTTATATATGAATAAATCTCATATAGGGTATATTTTTATAACATATTTTCCGTGCATCGCACGGGACAAATACTAGTTAGCAATATAGCAACGAGTTTTAAGAAAAGAGAAAAAAAGTAGAGCAAATGTTTGGTTGTAAATATGAATTAGAATGAATCAAACTAAATAATTTTTAATTAAAAATAAAAATAAATAATATATAAAGATATGTAATACATGTATATACCCAAGCTTATTTGTACGTGTATATTAAAATTCTACATTGAATGTATCAGGGGTGATCTTTTAATTTATTTCTAATTTTTCTTATTTTTTATTCTAATGTTCAAAATCAGGAAAGAAAAAAGGAGAACAATGACATTTATGATTACTATAAAAAAAATTTGTATTCTATAATTAAATATCAAAATTAAAGTAGACAAACAAACATGCTAATTGAAATCAAATATGATAGTATGACACAAAAGCAACCAAAAATGCCACTGCTTAATTGAATTTATATATTTATTTGAACAATTTAAATTCACAATAATTCACCCGTCATTAACCAATAAAACATTCTATTATTTTTATTACTATTGGCTCTATCCAATTGTAGCAACTAGCTGGTTAAATTAATGCATATGTTGTACAGCCCTCTAATCGCACAAGAAAACATGCATTCAAAACGGAATTGAAGCTTACTGAAGTATATAAGGGTAGATTTGAAACATTTAATAATTAAAACGAATGGGTCACCCCCAACAATTTCCAACACCTTAGCTTCAAAAGTGATTACACTTAAATATTGTCCAATTGATAACACAACATATACGTACTAGACTTACTAGAATAGAAAACATGCAAACATGCACCACTGAGAGCTATCACCTCCATAATCATTGATCTCGATCTCATCATTCATACCTACCAAATGAAGTGGAGTGAGTAATCGGCTAAAGAAAAAGTTTGTTCGGTGTGTGAACAATGCTTATACGAAAAATTTGTATCACGTTAGAGGTAATCAAGATTACCTGCAGGCTGCAGCTTAGAGTAGTTATAAGTTATCGGTTCCTGCGAACTCTGCGTCCTCGTCCTGGAGATTTTCTACCTCGTTGTCGGGGACCAAATAGCCACACGAAAACTTTGTCGAGTTGTCCGTATACTTCCCTGCATTTCTTGTTATGCAAAAGCATCCAAAGGTACGCGCCTAAACCCACAATGAATCCCAAAGCAGAAGTTACGTATTCCCATTTGATCTCAGATTGGCCATCACCCAATTCTCTCTCAGATTCTCCGCCATTGAAACTTGTTGGTGGTTTGCAACTTTTGGAGAGAGGGAAACCACACAAATCTTGATTTCCTAGGTAGGAATCTGGTCCAAATGTATTAAGTTGATTGCCTGTCGGAATCATACCAGAAAGCCCGTTGAATGATAAATTCAAGACTGAAAGAAAGGTGAGTTTCGCAAGCTGGGCTGGTATCTTTCCATCTAGCTGGTTTGCAGAAAGGTCTAAGGATTCAACCGTTTTCAGATTTCCAATTGTTTCAGGGATATTCCCTGTGAGAGCATTGTGTGATAGGTTGAGAACGTAAAGTGATGTGAGAGCCCCAATGGTGTCTGGGATTATCCCATGAAAATTGTTGCTTGAGAAATCAACAGATGTGAACACTATGAGAATTTTCTCCATTTTCATCTCCATCCCTTTCCAGGTTACTATTACTGTATTCTGGTAGTAATTAGTAAGCCCCAAGTAGTCAAACCTGATAAAACGCCCAGATTGCTTAGTCTCTTCATCAACAATCATTCTTTTCCAATATAAAAACTTTGGGGACAGTGTACCACTGAAATTATTGGAAGCAATATCAATAATCTGAAGATTTAGCCAGTTATGGTTGGCATTAACACAATGAAGGTCACCATGGAAGCCATTGGATCGCAAGACTAGGACACGCAGGCTTGATAAGTTCTTCAATGGACATGGAAAAGAATCTACAATTTTGTTGTTCCCAACATTCAGAATTTCCAATGATGAACAATTGATCAAAGATTTCGGGATCTTCCCTTCCAAGACATTCCTGCTGAGGTCTAATGATTTTAGAGCGCAATTACTTGAAAAGGAATCGGGTATGTTACCAGTGATTTGGTTTTTCCCAAGGTTTAGTACTTCAAGTCCAGGATTCTCAATCCAAGTAATGTTGAATAGACAGGACGGAAGTTTCCCACTCAGCTTATTATTGGATAGATCAAGTGCCAACATATCACGAACATTGCATATGGATTCAGGAATTGTCCCAGTGAAGCTATTATTTGAAAGAGACAAGAAAAAAGCGTATGGGTTGTAATTTCCAAGATCTGATATGGAACCGCTGAAAAAGTTGTGTGAGAAGTGAACATACATAGCTCCTGGTGCCAGGGGAAGTTGGCCTTGCAGTTGATTGGAGTGCAAGTCAAGTATTGAAAGACTGGTTGAGATTCTATAAGGCTTTTCTAGACCATCTAAGGAATTGTGGGAAAGATTCAGATGATTCAGAGTTCCACCACCCAGTTCCCATATCCAATTTGGTATTTCCCCTTTAATTGCATTGTCCGACAGATCTAAATGGGACATACTCGATCGGTTTCTAAGGTTCGGAAACTTTTGCAATCGACAAGAAGCCATTTTCAATGTTGTAATCTGGGGAAATAATGAATTATCTCCACTTATGTCAACTGACAAATTGTTGTTAGAAAGCTCAAGTGCTGAGAGCTTTGTGAGCTTTAGGAGACTTTCAAATTGTATCCTTCCACTGAAGGAATTGAAAGAAAGTACCAACACACTCAACATTGGAAATTCAAAGAAGTACTCTGGAACTGACCCGTTTAGACGGTTAGAACTCAAGTCGAGTATTCCCAATTGTGAGACAGATACATCCACATATTCATCAACTTGACCATCAAATGAATTGTTGAAAAGATCTAGCTTCTGCAATGATGGAAGTGAAAGCAAAGATGCTAAATTTATAGAGCCAGAGAGAAAATTTGACCCTAAATCTATAATCTCAAGATCTGAAAGGCCTTCAAAATGCTTAGAAGAAAGTGGACCGGTCAGGCCATTAAGAGATAAGTCTAAGTGGGTAAGGTTCTTTGAGTACCGGAAGTGTGGAATTGAGCCAGTGAAGTTGTTACCTGAGAAATCCACATCAACAAGATTTGTAAGTTGTGACATTGTAGAGGGAATTGATCCACTGAATTTGCAGTCGGAGAGATCTATCATGGACAAGTTTCTAAGATTACTAATGGATGTTGGCAAGGAACCAGAAAATTGCGTGTGAGCTACTGAAATCATTCTAAGTGATCCATTCTTGGGAAATGATGGGAAACTGCCACTAAGATCCGGATTTTCTGTCAAACTCAATTCCTGTAAACCTTGTATCTGAAATATCTCTCTTGGAAATTTTCCCTGAAGATCACAGTTAGTGAGGCTTAAAGTCTTCAAGTTTGAGAAATTGGCCAAGAATTTTGGAACTGTACTGGACAGAAGATTTAGATCCAGATAGATATCAGAAAGGAAACGAAGTTTCGAAAGGGAAGGATGGATTGGACCTGAAACTCCACAGTATTTCAAGCTCAACACTCTTAAATTAGGCAGAGATGAAGATAAAGTCTGACACCATTCACTCTTTTGGGCAGAAATATCAACATAATCAAGATAAAGTTGTCTAAGTTGAGTCGAGTTCTCAAAGAATTGCTTTAAATCTGGATTCTCAATTTTAAGTTTTTGATTTTCCGAGAGGTCAAGAGTAACCAACCTTGTGAGTCTTGAAATTCCATTCGGAATCTGCCCTCCAAAACCAGCATGTGACAACTTCAGATATGTCAAGTTGGTAAGATTATAAATCTGAACCGGAATTGGAATGGAATTGAAGTTGTTGGAAGCCAAGTTTAGCCTCTCAAGGTATTGAAGATTGAACAGAGTGCTTGAATTCTGGATACCATCTGTAATTCCTTCACTGTCGAGAATCAAGCCGATCACATGACCTGAGCTATCACATTCCACCCCAGGCCAAACACAACAATCTCTGCTCTCGCCCCAGAACGCAAGCTTGGATGAAGCTGTTGAGTCGAAACTCAGGCTGCTCCGCAACTGCAGCAACAACATTTTCTGATCCCTCATGCATTGAGCTGCCGCCATTGGGACGCTGAAGCCACCTGATATTATTATTTGCAGCAAGGATATCAAGAAAAGCCATTGAAGTAATGGAGTTCTCATTGTACACAACTGTTACGTTACACAAAGAAAATGCTCGATCAGAATTTTGGATGCCTTGAATTTTGAAGTGTAGTAGAGCTAGCTAGCGGTGAGATTAATAATATATTAAGGCCCTGTTTGGTAAAATGATTGTTAGCTAATAGTTGTTAGTTGTTAGTTGTTAGCTGATTGTGTTAATTAGATGGTATAAATGGTTGATAACATTAGCTGATTGTAGAAAAGTGTTTGATAAATTAGCTATTAGATGATAGCTGTTTGGTATAATTTTTTTCTCAAAAAACTAATTGAAAAAGTTGCTTGGAGTAGCATTTTGAATTTTAGCCTTTTGGAGTTGCAAAAAGCTAATTAATCAAAATTTTATATTGATATTTTAACTAAATCAAACAATTAATAATGGTCAAATAAGTCAAAATTGACCTATAGACCAATTTTTAACCAAAGAGGGTCTAAGTCTAATTTTGGATTCTGCAAACTAAAGAAGCCAACCTTAGCTTGTCAAGGTCGGCGTTTATGTTAAAGTCTTCTCGGTGGAGTCGTTGTGTGATCTTGACTGGTGGTCAACCATAGCTTGTAATTCACGTTGATAGGAAGTAATCCCCACTCTCAAGTTGAGAGCAACCCCCAATAGCTGATCTTTGATGATTTTTGGTATATTAAAAATTTAGTGTGTCAAAATACTAACATAGTTATGACTTTTTAAATAAGAAGTTTCAGGTTCGAACCCCCTTGTTTTCAATTAATGTAGATTTGATTTTTTTTTCTCTTGCAAAAACATGGAAGATTAAAAAAAAAAAAAAAAGACAGACTGGGCGTCTGCCTCTCACGAGCCAGAAATGATTGTCTTTGTGTTTTATTTAATTTTTTTTTTCTTTTGGTCTATAGCAACGGTCAAGATTGTTTCTTTGTCTCCGGTAGGAAGCAAAGACTTGGTTTTTTTTTTTTTGTTTTTTGTTTTTTGTTTTTTTTTTTGATTTTTCTCTTGCAAAAACACGGGAGATTAAAAAAAAGAGGGGCATTTGCTTCTCAGGCAAATTATACTATGTATTAAGGTGCACAATGTATTGTGCGTCAACGACGTTTGATCATGTTTTTTTTTTTTTTTAGAAATCCTGTTTCTCGTTTCTACTATTAAATTCAAAAAAAAAATATCGGTTTCGAATGTACATAAACTCATAACAGAATACACATAAACTCATAACATAATACATAATACACATAAACTCATAACATAATACACATAATCTAACATAATACATAATACACATAAACTAATAAAATAATACACATAAACTCACACACCACATCTTGACTTACAGTATCCACATTCCTGCTGAAGTTAACAGAGGATTTTTGGTAATTTATAACTTAATTGCCCTGCAAAAAACATTGAGGACTGCTTTCAGCACATGGCATTCCAATGAGTTTGCCCTGCAAAAAAATTACATTGGCTTGAGGTAGGTTAGACCGTTAGATGTGGCAACCTGTTTGAATTCTACACATTTGAGGTTAGATATAGTGCTATTAAATAAAATTCTTAAAAAACGTAACTTATAAGCTTTTTACATTACAGGGCATAATAATCTAAATTTACACTTTATGTTTTGTATATTGTAAAGGATGAATCAACAATTTGGTCCCTCACTTATTCGCGACTTGTCAATGTTGTCCCTGAATCACGTATTCATCGATTTAGTCCCCGAAAATAATTGTTTTTCGTCAAATTAGTCCCTATGGCCGTATTCCGTCAAGTTTCAGGCGAGAGCTCCGATTTGCCCTGGGCATTTTGGTATTTTCACGCCTTCTTCTTCATTCCATCGTCGCACAGCAGCTTACCCAAAAGCCAAGGTCGCCGGAAAACTCCATTGCCGGTTTGCTGCCTCGCCGGGAGGGATCAACTTGAAAATATTGCAAAGTACGAGGAAGTCATCAACTTGAAAATAAACCTCCATTCTCAAGCTTTCCATCAATGGCGAACTCTTCTCTCGTTCTCCTCTCCCTTCTTCTTCTCCTTCTCCCTCTCTCCCTTCTCCTCTTCCTCTACCTCATCGTCCGGCCGCGTCCCGTGAAAGTCTCCATCAGCAACCGCCACGTCTTCATCACCGGAGGCTCCAGTGGCATTGGCCTGGCTCTAGCTCTCCAAGCCGCCGCAGAAGGTGCCAAGGTCTCCATACTAGCTCGGAATGCCGGGAAGCTCGAGGACGCCAAGCACGCGATACTGCGCGCCACCGGCTGCGGCGTCGCGGCGTTCAGCGCCGACGTCAGAGACTACAACGCCGTGAAGATGGCCGTGGAGGAGGCTGGGCCTATCGACGTTCTGGTTTGCAATCCCGGAGTGTATGCATCGAAGGAGCTGGAGAATCAGGAGGTCGAGGAGGTGAAGATGATGATTGACGTGAACTTGACAGGGACTTTTCATCTCATCAAAGCGGCGTTGCCGGGAATGATCAGCCGGCTGGCGAACCGTGGACCTGGATCAATTGCCATCATTTCGTCTCAGGCCGGCCAGGTATATTTCCGATCTTCTCTCTTTTTGATGGGTGACAGAAAAAAATTGTACTCCTTAACAATTACTAAAGGGTGTACGTGATGGATATATTAGGGATGGACGGGGAACAAAGTGACCCCGTGGAGCATTCAAAAAACATAATCCAAATTGCCTCGCCGGAAAACTCCATTGCAGGTTTGCTGCCTCGCCGGGAGCTCCATTGGTCAAAGTTAATGAAGAAGAAGGCGTGAAAAGACCAAAATGCCCAGGGCAAATCGGAGCTCTCGCCTGAGACTTGACGGAATAAGGCCATAGGGACTGACTTGACGAAAAACAATTATTTTCGGGGACTAAATCGATGAATACGTGATTCAGGGGCAACATTGACAAGTCGCGAATAAGTGAGGAACCAAATCGTTGATTCACCCTATTGTAAATTATATATGAATGATTATTTATACACATTCTTATTATCTCTTTTCCTAACAAACACAAAGAGCTAGAAATAACACATTATTTTTTTGAAGTATCTATGGAATTGAAAAAGCGTAGGATTATCATACATGATATGATGTAACCAGAACTATGGACTAATTGGAGCTGCATAAAGATCAATCGACTCATCCTGTTCATGTATATAACAAGAAGGCTCGGCTGAAGACTGCTTAACTGAGTTTCTTATAAGTTCAAGTTCATTGGCTACTTCCTTCATTTGAGGCCTATCTTCTCCCTTCAGCTGAAGACATCTCTTCACAAGCTCTGCAATTCTTTGAAGTTGATCCAGTGTCCCCTCCCTTACTAGTCTAGGCACAATAATCTGAAAAAGTCGATTCTCATTCATGGATTGAATGAAAAATGCTGGTAAGATTCGATCATCCCCGCTTATAATTGAAGGCACTGGCCTCCTTTCTGTTAGGAGTTCGGCTAAAACTACCCCAAAACTGTATACGTCACTCTTTTCTGTCAACCTACCCGTTTGGAAGTATTCTGGATCCAAATAACCAAGTGTTCCTTGGACTAGTGTTGCCACATGTGTACGATCCAAAGGGATTAGCCTGGAAGCCCCGAAATCAGAGATTTTTGCAGTATAGTTTTCGTCTAACAATATGTTGGTTGACTTAACGTCCCTGTGGAATATAGGCACAGATGCAGCTGAGTGAAGATAAGCAAGTGCCCATGCAACTTCAATTGCAATTCTCAGACGATTTTCCCATGACAACCAATCTGGTGCACCTGCTAAGTTGTGGATATGGTGATGTAGAGTTCCATTGGAGATATATTCAAATACTAGCAAAGGAACTTCAGCTTCCAAGCAACACCCCAAGTATCTGACAACATGACGGTGATTGATCCGAGAGAGAATAACCACCTCATTGATGAACTGCTCAATTTGAGTCTCATCCACTATTTTTGATCTCTTAATTGCAACTTGGAGCATATTTGGTAAGATTCCTTTAAATACAATGCCATTTCCACCTCGACCCAAGATCATGTCTTGAGTGTAGTTATTTGTAGCTTCCGTGAGCTCTTTGGCAGAATAAATTTTGGTCACGTCTGAGCTATCGCTGCCTCCATCGGTGATCTTTTGTTTTAGTAAAAAGCCACCATTTTGTTCAAAGAACTTGAGCCTCATGTTAGCATGATTTGTTTTCTTGATGATATAGCATAGTGAAGTGGCCATTGCAATCAAGGCAAAAATTCCCAATCCCATCCCTGTATTGATGGTAGGGCAATCAATATATTAAAACGTTCAATCATTTCTAAGAACTCAATTTCTGAAGGCTTAGGATTAGTCTAATTGGAAAATCTAATTGTATAAAAAACAAAAATCATTACCTAGAGAGAATTTAAACCATGGGAAAATTGAGTTTTTGTTCAAGGGAAGGCAACCCTGACCATCTTTTCTACCGTCGCCATAGTACCCTTCATGACAAGTACAGTTGAAGCCCCCTGGAATGTTAATGCATTCCAGTTCACAGGTATTTTTCTCGGGATTTATGCATTCATCAACATCTGGAACGTAATACACTTTAGTACTAATAAAATATTAAATACATAATGTAATATAACATAGTAATAAATACGGAATATATATTACGTACGTACCAGTGCAACCTGGACTTAGATATGGGTTGCCTTCATAACCATCATCACAGCGGCACATGTAATCTCCTTTTCCTGTGTCTGAATCTATGCAATGACTATTGGCTTGGCATGCATATGCACTTCTGTTCTGTGCTTCCTTGCATCTCGAGTTTCTAATCGCTAATTCAAGTGGAGAACATTATTAATATTCTTCCAAAATCCAAAGGTTGAACTCCAACCCTAAAGGGGCCCACATCCCGATCCGACAAAGCATTATTAATATTATTATTCAACATGTAAGCTAAGTATAATTTTTAATTAACAATTATAAAGTTATTAGAGTTTGTATTATTCCATTACCCTAACCCAATCCAAGTATTATTACTATTTTGTTATATATAGTTCATTTATAAAATAAATAAAAAAATCAAAATGACTCATTTGTTAGAAAATATTTTCATTTATGATGTTTAGCTAAAATCAAGAAATTGTCATTTCTATTTGTTTCATTTTCAACAAAAAAAAAAATACAAAATTATTATTAATTATTAATTATTAATTATTAATTATTTTAATAATAATAATAATAATAATAATTTATGAGTTTAAGTTTGGATCACACTTGTGTGAGATCGCCTCACGGATATTTATTCGTGAGTCGGATCGGGTCAAATCAACATGCAAATGTCATACTTATATATGGTCAAATGTAATATTAATCAGGAATTAAAAAAAAATTCTTATAAGAAAAAATGTAATACTTTTAAAATAATATATAATACTTTTACATTTGTTACCCATTTGACACCTATTAGAGAGGGAGAGATAGGCATGAGAGGGATTTGAAAAATATTTTCTGAATAAAAATCTTGAAAAACATTAGTATATTTTTCGTCAAAATGAATCATTTTTCTTTTAAACAAGATGTATACTTTTCATCAACTCCATTGAGTATTCAAACATGGTGAAATTCAAAAAATAACTCAGAAATTAAATTTTTCAAATTTTCAAACAGACCCTAATTGAGTGTTTGTAGTGGTAATACACGTGCTACTTTAACATTTTATAGTACGAATGGTCCTCTAAATACTTAATATAATACCACAAAATAAATATTATGGAGTAAATAGTACTTCCTCCGTCATATTGTATGTATCTTGTTAGGTTAACGAGACTTGATTGAAGTTATTATTAACTTAATTTTTCATAATATTAAGTTAAGTATTAGTATGTAGAGTAAATATCCAAAATGGTCCCTCGACTATAGCTAAATTCACAAATTGGTCCTCGACTTTCAATTTCAACCAATTAAGTCCTTAACTTTGTAATTTTGACACGATTTGGTCCTCCATCTATTTGACCGTTTGTTGACCGTGATCGGCAATCTCCAAAAGAACCTTCAGCTCTCGTCGGAGCACGTGGAGGCCTCCAGGATGACGTTGCACTGGTTCGGAAACACGTCGTCTTCTTCGCTCTGGTACGAACTCAACTACATTGAATCCAAAGGGAGGATGAAGAAAGACGATCGGATTTTGGTAGATTGCTTTCGCCAGTGGATTCAAATGTAACTGTGCGGTCTGGAAATGCAACCAAAACCTTAAAAAACCGATGATGGGCCATGAAATTACATATATATCCTCAAAAATCACAGTCAACAAACGGTCAAATAGACAGAGGACCAAATTGTGTTAAAATTACAAAGTTAAGGACTTAATTGGTTGAAATTGAAAGTCGAGGACCAATTTGTGAATTTAGCTATAGTCGATGGACCATTTTGGGTATTCACTCTTTATAAAATTTATATATTTAGAAACTATACTAAAAGTAGAACAATATTAAACACAAAAAATCACATTTAAAAATAAGTGAAAAAATAATAAAGAAAATAAATGAATAAGAAAAAGTTGGTTTGACCAATGAATACAAACATGGTTGAAAAAATCGCTAGGCGCTCCTCGGATGCTCGAGGGGCGCCTAGACAACGATTAATCAGTGTCACGCTCGTGTATTTTTTATTTTTTAAAAATTTGTTTAAATTTTTTAATTTTTTAAGATTTGATAATTATAAACTATTTAATACTTTAAGGGCTCGTTTGGTTCGCGGAAAATATTTTAAGGGAAGTGGAATTGAAATTCCATGGAAAAACAATTACTAGGAAGATGAATTTCATTGTTTGGTTGGTAAAAAAAGAATTACTGGGAATACTAATTCTATTGTTTGCTTAGATTTGGAATTGTAAGGAATAACGAGTATAAAGACCTATATGCCCCTACAAATTAATAAGAGTAATATAATTAAGGAATAAGGATCAAATAGGCCACTGAACTGCACACTAAAGTGCAATTAGGCCATCGAACTCAAAAATAATGCAATTGGGTCCCTAAACTACACAAACTCATGCAATTAGGTCTAAAATGACATGTTGACCTGAAATTGTGCTGACGTGGCGGTTATCAATTTTAAAAATAAATTTTAAATATAATTTAAAATAAAATAATTAATTTATAAAAAAATAAATAAATAAAAATAAAAATAAAAAACTAGAATTGCCGGAGACGATTCGTCTCCGGCAGCTTCGTCTCCATTGCCGGAGACGAAGCTCTTCGTCTCCGGCCATGGAGACGAAGAGCTTCGTCTCCCTAGCCATGGAGACGAAAGACTGCCGGAGACGATTCTTTTCCGGCAGTTTTAGTTTTCGTTGTTTTTTTTTTTTTTTAATTTTAAATTATATAATTTTAATTAATTATTTTATTTTAAAAAATATTTATAAATTATTTTTAAAATTGGTAACCTGCATTTCAGGTAAACAAGTCATTTTGGACCTAATTGCATGATTTTGTGTAGTTCAGGGACCCAATTGCATTGTTTTTGAGTTCGATGGCCTAATTGCATTTTGGTGTGCAGTTCAGTGGCCTATTTGACCCTTATTCCTATAATTAAACAAGAAAGCAAGGGTAAAATAGGCAATCCATATCACATTTTCTTCCCATCTTCCATGGAAAACAAAATCCTTAGTCCAACCAAGGATTTTGTTTTTCATCAAATTTGAGGAATTCATTTTCCAATGGAAAATGAATTCCATGAACCAAACACCAGAAAACAACATTTTCCTTCACTTTAAGGAAAATATTTTCCTTTGGAAAACATTTTCCATGAACCAAACATCCCCTAATAGTTAATACTAAAAATTAAATACTAATCTAAATAACATGAGTTTGAACAATTTAGGATTATTTTGTTCAAAACGATATCGTTTTGAGTGAAATAACCCATTTAGAAAAAGAAGGGAACAATAGCTAATCGACAGACTAGACGACTTAGTCCGTGCTAAGAGGTTTAGTCGGTTGCCTAAACCACGGATTATGATGATACGCTAGGTGGCCAGCCAATATCTAGCGCCCTACACGTAGAGGTGACCACGGTTTGGTTTGAACTGGATGGTTCAAACAGAACCGTGCACTGTTGAACCGGAACCAATATGGTTCCGATTACGGTTTGAGATGAAAAGGAACCGGAAAAAATTAAATATTATAGTGTTTTTTTTTAAATTTTTTTAATAATTCCGGTTAGAACCAGAACCGGAACCTTACTATAAGGTTCCGGTTCCAGTTTCGCCATCCACAGAACCCGAACCGAACAGTCCGGAACCGTGGTCACCACTACCTACACGCGGATTAATTGATATCTAGAGGGAATTTTTGCAAGAGTAATGAATAGTATGTAGAACAGATAAAATGAGACAATTGGAGTATATATTTATGCAATTGCATACGAACCGATGCAACCGAGATATGGATTGCCTTCATAGCCATGATTGCAGCTGCAAAGATAACCTCCGAATCCCGTGTCGGAATCTACGCAATGAGTATTTGCTTGGCATGCATATCCACTGCTGTTTTGGGCTTCTTTGCAACTCAAGTCTCCAATTGTCCAGTCTACTACAAGCGCAACACTATCAACAACCCTTTGAACAAAATTTTGGTTACTCAAATCAGATGCACCAAGGAATCTGAATCGACTCGTGTCTCCAATATACATGTGGCCGCAGGGATTGAAGGACCAGACCTTGGTGTGGTTCAAGGCACTGACAATACGAACGGAGTAGAACTTGTTGGAGCCTTTTGGGATGGGTAATTGGCAGCAGCCGATACCGGAACAAGTCCCGTTGTGAGGCACTTGAGAGGCATTAGAACAGCTGGAAGTGCATCCGGTAATCATAGTGGTTCCGTCCGTTATCCGGACAATATCGTCGCAGCCTACGGTGGTTATCTTGTTTTCAGGGGAGAGGCTGTAGTGATATTCAACTTTTCCAACGGCCAGGTTCCAACCTATGTATTGCCGATAAACCAATGTTCCGTTGGATTCATAGCAATTGTTAATCACTTGTAGGCCGGAAATCCGTATCTGCCTATCTGATATGCCATAGACAATTGACCTCCCGCCGAAAGAGGTCAAGTCGAGGATTGGCCTTGGTGGATTGTAATCGGTTCCGTCGCAGAGTATCTGGAATTTGGAATCAAATGCACATCCACTCCCGATTCCGAATGGGTACGGAACCGTCAAGTTTCCGCACTGGGTTGGGCAACCTGGACGACCAATCGGAGCTGCAGCTTGGCTCAAGTTGGTTGTCGTCGTCTGGGCAATAGCCGAGGAAGACAGGAAGACGAGCACCATCAATAAACAACGCCCACAAGCAACAGGGGCAGAGAATTCCATAGCTGTATGAGGATGTAATATATTAGCAATTCGATCTGTATTTGTATGGATATATAAAAGCTTGGTTGGCATGAAATTCTATTTATACACTATATGGATATATAGGCGAAGAAGCCGGTAAAGGCCAAGTCACCAGTCACGCATGCAGTGGCTAACTGGCGGAGGCCAATAAAGGACTTAAAGAGAAGTCCAGCACCTAGGGTCTTGAAAATGTAGGGTGACTAAAAAAATAAAGTTATACCTTCGAACTAGTAAAGACAAAGTCTAGCACCTAGTGGCTAAAGAATTGTTGGACGGAGGCCGATAAAAGGTTTAAAGGTTAAGTTCAGCACCCAACATCTCAAAAATGTGTGCGTGCTGGTATAAGAAAATAAAGTTATACTTTCGCTACTAGCTATAGCTTTTGGCATACCGATAAGCATTTGATCCTAACACCCCCTTTAATGAAAGAACTGAGCTACCACACAAATCAGAGGGTATGTTTGTTTAATGAGTTTGTGCATTAGGAATGAGAATTAAAATCAATGTTAGTATGTTGTTGTTGGACAATTTTTTAAAACACAACTATGAGATTTAATTATCATTTGTTAAGAAATCAGATCAGAGAGATAAGGAAGAAATGGGTTACAACATCATTCAATTAAAAACTACATTCTCTAATTAAAATTGAGTATCATTAATCCATCTTTTTGATAATATGATTTTTAAGTTTGGATTAGTGCTTTTAGAATTTTGTTTTATTTTTTTGTTCATATTGATGCTTTGGAGATCATTATATAAGGATCAATTGTTTTGATTTTGTATTTTTTTTAAATCATTATTCCCATTATAGGGTCATATATAACCAAACATTAATATTGGTAATTATTCTAATTTCATCCTACTACCAAACATACAAAATACTTTCACCAAAACCTATTACTATTACCAAGTATTTGATTATCATTCCGATTACGATTCTCATTTGCGAACCAAACGCACCCCGAGTATTGGCAGTGATCAATTGGCCTGGGTCTACATCATGCATGTTTGAATATAATTGGCGTCAAGTTGTAGGTAGCTACCATCTCCCACGACGTCCTATCTACGTTAAATATGTATGAATTCAAACTTTATCGTCCAGTTGTGCCTTATTTGTCTATTGATAAATAGTCCTGTGGCTCTTATAGCTGGGGAGATGTTAAGTCCATAAGCAATAATTGTAGTTGATGAAAAGTACTAATAAGCTACATGTTCCAATGTTACCATCACGTTTTCCATTTCCCCTAGAATATATGGTCGACGCTCATGTTTAGAAATTTTACATTAACTTATTAAGCGGCCAAAATTGAAGTTGTTTTAATGCTGACAGAAAAATCAATTCAAATGAAAAGACAAAAGATATGCTTAAGCCACATCTCACCATATTCCAACTTCGACTAGAATGGTCTATTGAGCATATCCTAATCCTAACTATAATAAAGCTAAATTTTTTAGTTAAAAATTCCCGCCCAAAGCACACTACTCCGTTTGGTTAAAACATGGATTACAGTATTTTATATTGTGAAACGCTTGAAGAAGATTATGGTTGATTAACGCATGAAGAAGATTACAGTGCATTATTATATTACAGTTGAGTATGTCTTGTATAATACTTTGTTTTTATAAGATGTCTACTCCTTCAAACATATGAGTTGAATTCGCAGCAAAAATATATGAAAATTTAAAGGATGGGTGATTGAAAGTAAAAGAAAAAAAAAAAAAAAAAAAAAAAAAAAGAAGAAAAAAATGAAAAGAGAAGTCCATTTTGATACGACCTTATTTGGTAACATATGATAAGTTAATTTTGATTGGTTTATCTAGTTAATAGACTACTTTAAGTGATTGGTGATGATTTTTTTGTGCAAAAAATAAGGAAGAGATAAAATTATGTAGATTTAAAAAGTTGATATTTATGTGTAAAGTACCATTCTCATTATCGTTTTTATGACAGTCATTTTAAAAAAGGGGTAATGATACTACTTAAAAAAAAAAAAAAAAAAAAAAAAAAAAAAAAAAAAAACTTTTGAGAAGAAGGCACCTTCTCACTCCCAATTTTTTTTGGGTAATTCTATTTACACCACCTATTTTGCTATTTGCACCACCTATTTAGTAGGTTAAATAGCTTTATAAGTAGTATAAATGCAAATTTGCTATTTACACCACCAGCATTAAATATGGTCAAAGATTATTATTTATTTTTCATTTTTTTAATTAAAAATATTTAAAAAAAATTTAAAAAAAAAAAAAAAAAAACCTCCCTACCGTCACCTTCTCCGGTGAGAAGGCAGGGACTGCCTTCTCACCGGAGAAGGCACCCCAGTGGGTTGCCTTCTCACCGGAGAAGACAACCCAATGGGTTGTTTAAAAAAAAAAAAAAAACGAAGGAAACAAACCCAGGGGTCGCCTTCTCACCAGCGACCCATGTAGCCTTCTCCGGTGAGAAGGCAGCCCAGTGGGTTGCCTTCTCACCGGAGAAGGCGGAATTCTTCTTTTTTTTTTTTTTTTTTTTTTTTTTAGTTTTGAATTAATTAATTATTATTTAAACCTAATAAATGTGATTTAATTAAGGTGGTGTAAATAGCATTTTGACCACTCATTAGGCTATCTGCACTACCTATGTATAATTTATAAGTTTTTAACTTTTTATATTTTCAATGTACTTTTTACTTCATTTTGGTCAAAGGGGAGTGTAAATAGCAACACCCAATTGGGAAGACCGCAATGCCATTGCCTTCTTCTCATTTTCATTTTTTATTTTTTATTTATTAAGTATTATATAATATCATAAAAATATTTTCCGTCCCTAAGTTACATGGTAATTGTAGAATTTGTCTATATTTGTTAGTCGTGTTCACTTCTTATTCTTAAGTTTAGACATTTCGATTTTCGATTCATTTTTTTTTAGTTCGATTTGGTTTATGTTTTTTTCGGTTTAAAAATGAAACCATTTAGTTTCATATTTTAGTTCGGTTTTTGGATCGGATTTGGTTCAGTTCAGATTTCAGTTTGGTTTGAAGACTAACATTCTCTAGTTATCTTGAGAATATAACTATTTATTTATTTTCACTAATAATTTAATTTTGAAAAAGGTAAACAACAAGTCCACAATGTATATTTTAAATTTCTATATTATAAAAAAAAATAAAAAAATAAAAAAAACTAACAAATAGAAATGAGCAAGACCAGGCCAACAAATAGAAGTGAATTTTACAATTTCCAAATAATTTTTTTATATTATTTAATTAATATTTAATAAAAATGAAAAATGAAAATTGAGAGTCAAGAAGGCAATGACATTACATTCTCCCTAATTTAAAAAATTGATGGTCCATTTGGTTCACGGAAACAATTTGGATGGAATATGAATGCTATTTCATAGGGAATAGAATAGGAATTGTATTCTTTTGTTTGGTTCTCTAAAGAAATAGACTTTAGGAATTGTATTCCAACGTTTGGTTAGTTAAAGAATAGAAAAGGAATATATGTTTAAAAAACATAAATGTCTTTGTACAAAATATATTATTATTATTATTATTATTATTATTATTATTATTATTATTATTATTATAAAAAGTGAAAGAGGTGCGACTAGTTTACAAACCCAAAACACAATTTCTAAACCTAAAGCTACCCACCGCCACCACTGGACAATCGAACTCCCCAGGCAATCAAAAAGTTGCGAAGATCCTCCATCTGGGTGGCCAACACCAGTCTGAGCAGCGGCTGAAACCGTAGTCTCCATTTGCGAAGCCAAGCATGAGCCTCCACTACCAACGACATCCACGGACTGCGACGGAACCCCAACGACGGAAATTGGCCCACTGCGCAACAACCTCCAGAAGTTTCGACGACCGCCGATCGACAATCTGACCAGCGACGAACGTCTGGACATCCCCGACACCATCTGATCCTCCATGTAATGACTCCATCGCCGGGGAAGCTTTGAGCGATGAAATCTGGGTCTGATTGCGAGAAGCCTTTGTCGACCTTCGATCACCAAATTGAGGGCGGCGATCACGTTGTAGAGGCCAGACAAGACCTTGGGAAGGTCGCGAGAGAGGTTCACCTCTCCGTTGAACAATTGCAGCAACTGGGCAATGGCGATGAGCATCAGTGACGACCCTCTCTAGCGACCCCCGACGAGCAGGGTAGAGTAGCGGCGATGGCTTCGACATGGCAGAGCACTGTGACTTGTTTTAGATTTATTTTGGAGGTAAATAGGAAATAGTAATTTTAAGCTATTCCTAAGAACTCAGGAATAGCCTAATACAATATTCTTTAGAATAGAAGATTTTACTAAACAAATGAATATGTCTATTACTGGGAATGCTATTCCATTCAAGACCTATTCCGCGAACCAAACATGACATGAGAGTGAGAAGAAGGTAATGCCATTGTCTTCTTCAAAGTTGTTTTTTTTTTTTTTTTTTTTAAAGAAAAAATTAGAAGGCAATGACATTGCCCTTTTTTTTTTGGGGTGAAAATCAATACCATGAAAACGGTGATGCCATTAATACTTTACACAAAATTGTCTAGGTTTACAAAATTACACAAAATTGTCATCTCTTCCAAATCTACATATTTTAGTTTGCCTTATTACATTAGTTTATTGGGGCAATAAAAAAAATCTGAAAAGTTAAAGAAAATAGAGTTTTTTGTTTACTAATTGGTCTTAATTATGAAATGACCATTTTACTCTTACCATCCCATATTTTTCTTGTTGTAGTTTATATACCTTGTCCCTTTTTTTTTTCCTTTTGTTTGGTAACATCAATAATAATTTTCTTTTTGATTTCGCTCATCATTGTAATCTATAATAATAATAATAAAATAAATAAAACTGTTTTGAATGCTACTAACTCTATTACATTGTAGTATGCACAAAGAGTCAACAACGCCTCCATTGAGGCTCAATCTCATGACCTTCCACATGAGAGAGGTCACTACATGTCATCTGAATATAAGGTGTTTGGCACTGCAAAAGTAATTTAAGAGTTAATAAACTAGCACAATATGCATGTTTATGCCTTTATA